CAGAGGGCGCTGTTTTACACTCAGACCGCCACCAGAGGGCGCTGTTTTACACTCAGACCGCCACCAGAGGGCGCTGTTCACTTGATGATTGTTGTGCGTCTTTAGTGCATACAGCCTTTAACCATTGAACAAAACTCATGGCCTAGCTTTACAAAAACAAATGTCATTTTTGTATCTGCAGCTTCACTTTATCAATTTGTTGTAAGTTTATAGTTTAATGATGTAATGGCAATTTATTGGCAAAAACAAGTGCAACACTTCGTAATAAATCAGTGCACATTTTATATATATATTATCTTTTCAGTCTTTAACTTGTTTATCTACTAAGCTGATAAGTGGATAGATAACATAGATTGGCTTAGAATCTAGAAGTACTAAGCAAACCTTTTTTATTTTTTTAATAGTTTTAATATTTTATCATTTATTTTAAGGGGTGTCCGAGCTTTTAATAAAAAAAGAAAAGTGACCTGCGCGTAGCAGCCTGAACAACTCGACGCGAAGTTACCGCCCAAGTTTGTGCACGCGCACGGAGCGCGCCCTCGTCAGTGATGGATCCATGAAGTTGTTACTACAAAAATGGCTGATTTCCTGCCCTCCCGGACGGCGATAGTTTGTATCCCCAGTTGTCTTTTGTCCAGCAATGAAATCGAGCAGCAGAGGAAATCTAAAGAGATAGACAGATGTATTAATCGGGAGAAGACGTACGTGAAGCGCCTGGTAAAGATATTACTGCTCGGAGCGGGAGAGAGCGGCAAGTCAACTTTCCTCAAGCAAATGCGCATAATTCACGGGCAGGACTTCGATCAGCGGGCCAAAGAAGAGTTCCGGGCTACGATCTACAGCAATGTTATCAAAGGTAGTACTTTCTGATAGCGTAACACACGGTTTGTCGATTAGTGAAGCTTTCTGGTCTGTCCAGACTCAACGCCCTTCACTTTATTTCGGGTGAAAGTGATTTCCGTGGCCAACTTTGGCGATAAGAGTCGAGGTGAACGTACAAAAGCCATCAAAAGTGGAATTAGCTGCAGTAGCTGTGCTCGGCTCACTGTTCGCGCCACGCCTTGTACTTCACCCTAAACTGGCCAAAACTAGGCGTTTTTGTCGACAAACTCTAGTTGGCTTACATTTATTTGTTTAAGAAAGAACACTCTGAATCACATGTAAGATAATAATGTGATATTCCAGTACTTGTTAAACTGACTCGGGTTGACAAAATTGTCAGCTCGTATTGTTTTAGGTTCTTTGCACTTAGCTCGCTAGCTAAACCCCATGTTTTGTTATTCAAAATGAAATTCCTACTTAATGTATGCTGACTTAAATCTGTCTGAACTGGAAATAGTAGCACCACGTGCATGCTTTAATGTATCTGATCACTTTCTGCTGCTCTCTGATGTGACTGGATTGTGTGTGTGTGTGTGTGTGTGTGTGTGTGTAGGAATCCGAGTGCTGGTGGATGCCAGAGAGAAGCTGCACATCCCATGGGGAGACTCTTCTAACCAGAGTCTCGGGGAGGCCCTGATGGGCTTCGACACGCGCTCGGCCATGATGGCTCAGGGAATTGTAGAGACCAAAGTCTTCCTGCATTATCTGCCCTCAATCCACACCCTGTGGGCTGACAGCAGTATCCAGAGCGCCTACGACCGGAGAAGAGAGTTCCAGTTGGTGAGTTGAAAACCAGCAGCACACATCATCACAAGAATCATACAGATTAGTGGAGCATGATATGGACATTAAACTCGATCTGGACATAAAACATGCTGTGACTGAGATTTAGTTTGGCGAGATTACGTTGAAGCTGTGATTCATCGGAACCCCCACAGAAACCACACATCTGGAACATGAAATGTTCACAGCACTTACTCGTTCACACTGTTGCTGTGATGATATGATTGCAAATGAAAATGTGACCATACTAATTAATGTGCTATATTTTGCAGGCCTGTTTTAAAAATTATTTTCGCTTGGTTTTATTTTCAGTGGTTTTTGTTACACGAATCCTTTCAGAGAACCCTTTCAGGGAGAGCACTCTGAGTATTAGCATAATTTTTTTTTTTTTTTTTTTTTTTTTTTTTTTTTTTTTTTTATATAAATAAAAAGCACTCGGTTTTCTTTGAGTTATGGTTTTGAAGAGCCATGTACACATGGAATGTTTGTAGCTTGCTTGATTGAATTTTTCATATGAAGGTTTTTGTTTTAGTGGGGTGGTGGTCTTCGTATAGGAATGTTGAGCTCTTTAATCACTTGGTCCTTGTCTTAACACAGAGTCATGCCTCTGTTATGCAGTTAGTATGGTGGCATCAAAGCCTTATCTGACATACAATTAGCTTTAAGCTGTATTCCACACAAAGTGAAATAATTTTCATTTCTTTCATCCGCACTCATGGAATGTAGATGCTATTGTTATTACAGTATTTATAATACCTCTATATATGCTAAGGGGTGTAATTCAGAGCTACTGTCTGTATCTGTATTCAGATTTGAACCTGAAGAGAGCTTGACCTAAACCAGATTTTTACTAATCAATTATTGATATCTTGTTAGATTTCAGATTCAGTAAAACACTGTTTTGGTCAGGCTACAGGAGCAAAACTCTGATGATAGACCAAAAAAAAAAAACAGAATAGTGCACCTCCTGTTCATGTCTGTTTATTCTGAGTAATGTATTTGTATATTAATATACACACCATACTAGCCACTATTGGACCATATTCTGTAGGAATTATCGCTGAACCATTTAGTCCAAAGCCACCCATCATTAAACACTGAGAATGTCTAATGTCTGAGATCTGGCTCTATTTTTTGTTTAAAAGATTTGAAGATCTTTTAGACATTTCAGGCCTTAAAACTTTTTTTTTTTTTTTTTTTAAAGAGAGATTTAAGATGTTTTATTTTCTTATTCCTTTCCATAGTTCTAAGTCTAAGGATTTAATGTAAGGAGTCATTACACAGTGTTCACAACAGAAAGTGAAACTCCTGTCATGTGGTTAGAGTGTTTTCTTGTTCCCTTTTCTTTTTCCTTTACCATTTTTTTTTAATTTCTTGGAATAAAATTTTAAAGTGAGGCAATACCAGTGTATTTCAGTAAAGTCTATGTAATTTATCTTTTTACTTGCACTCTTGGTACCTGTGAAATGCAATTTAATTCTCTGAGGATTTGTGTATAACTCTGACTGAAAGCACAGGCCGAAGGTTAAAATAGAGCACTGTTCTCACAACATGAAGGGGGAGTAAGGGATTGGGGGAAAACTGGAGATTTACTGGTTTAGGCTTTAGGATTGAGCACTGAGGGGCAAGGGTCAGAGTTGTTATGCCAGAAATAATGTGAAGTAGCTTATAATGCGCAGGAATTTGTGTTGCATGTCTGATTTCATAACCGATTTTCTATTCCATTGAAGTTGTTGTACAACACTGAATTTACTGTAGTGAATTTAATGATGATCTAATTAATAATGGTCATTATGCCTTCGGAGATGTTTAGATACTTGGTTTTCTATTTCAATCAAGATCTGTTGTTTTGATTTTATTATTTAACCAGGCCTGGGGGAGCAGAGGTAAAATCATAAAAAATGTCCACATAAAATCATGCACATATCAATTCATAAACACTTTTTTTATCGGTGCTGAATTTATAAGTGGTGTTTTATAATCTTGTATAATCGTTATGTGAGATTTGCATTATTTGTGAGTTGCTAGATAGTAATATTCATTGTGTTGTTTTTTTTTTTTTTTCTCCTGTGTCTCTAGGGTGAATCAGTTAAATATTTCCTGGACAGTTTGGATAGAATTGGACAGCCGGTAAATCCTGTTGAGTTTAAAATTGAGCATTATGCTGTAGTTAAAGAGTATAATGTATACAAACTAAAGATTTATTTGTATGCTTATTATTTTAATAACAGATTGTTTAATGGATTTTTTCGTCTTCTTTTTTTTTTTTGTAGGATTATCTACCAACCCAACAGGACATACTTCTGGCACGAAAGCCTACTAAGGGCATCCACGAGTATGACTTTGAGATCAAGAACGTTCCATTCAAGATGGTGGATGTGGGTGGGCAGCGGTCAGAGCGTCGGCGATGGTTCGAGTGCTTTGACAGTGTCACTTCTGTGCTTTTCCTGGCATCATCTAGCGAGTTTGACCAGGTTCTTATGGAGGATCGTCAGACCAACAGGCTTATGGAGTCGCTCAATATATTTGACACCATCGTCAACAACCGCGTGTTTTCTAAAGCGTCCATCATTCTTTTCCTCAATAAGACAGACCTGCTGGAGGAGAAAGTAAAAACTGTGTCTATCGCTGACTATTTCCCCGACTTCACTGGAGAGCCCCACAATCTTGCTGATGTACAGAAGTTCCTGGTGGAATGCTTCCGTGGTAAGCGGCGTGAACAGCAGGTGAAACCCTTCTACCATCACTTTACCACAGCCATTAACACAGAGAACATCCGCCTCGTCTTCCGAGATGTCAAAGACACAATCTTGCATGAAAATTTGAAGCAGCTTATGTTACAATGAGAGACATGCCATAATGCTTAAGATCATTCCACGTTTAATGAGGTTTTAATTCTAGTACAAGTGATTTCAGACCCTGACAAAAGACCTGTAGGCAAATTGTTCTCCTCACAGATAAGACTACTTTTTTCCTGTTTTTAATTCCAATTTCAGTGTCCCTTTCAATCCATTCAGCTGATTCATTTGTGTTTTACTGCTGTCATTGCCACTTTTAAATTTTTATTTAAAATTTTATCTAACTATAAAATGCCCCATGTATAGTGATTTACCAAAAGGCATCTCTCATATTGTATTTTCCACCAATCAGTGCAACAGTTGTAGCAAGTCTGGAGCTTTCCGCTGTTGCAGAGCAGAGATTACAGTTTGTGCAAATCTGAAGAGACCATCACCTACAGCCTTTTGTTTTTATAGTGTTACATTCAGCAGACTAGATTTAATATAAATCATGTTTATACAACTGAGCAGTTGACGGTTAAGGGCTTTGCTCAAGAACTTAGCAGTGGATAGGATTTGAACTCACAATATTTTGATCAGAAGTCTAATGTCTTAGCCACTGAACTGCTACCAACCACTGTTAGACCAATTGATAGAAAGTATTTAATTTCCCTATTCCCTAAGGTAAAAACCCAAGCTGGGTTTTATATATATATATATATATATATATATATATATAATATGTGTACAAGAATTTGTCCTTTGTATTTGAGGTCTGGACATGACTTAAAGCAAAGTGGTAAATGCTATTAGTAACACTCCAAGATGCATGATATCTGCTGAGACTCAGGGGCTGTAAATATGCATTATAGACACATTATTGGTGAGTGGCCTTCCATGATTGGGATTAGAGGCCCCCCCCCCCCTTTTTTTTTTTTTTTGTTTTTTTTTAAACCATTCCAGGATTCAGCAAGTTCTGTCATATCCCAATTTGAAAAACAACATGGAAGTGCACTCGGATTATCCAAAACATGTAATGACCCTATTATTAAGGTACCTGTGTATGTAGTACTATTGTCTTTGTTCCTTATTAAAAGGGAAAGACTCTTAAATGTTTTCGTTGTTATACAGAATTTATGTTGTATAGATCCCTTGTCTATAGGTTTTTTTTTTGTTTTGTTTTTAAACCTTTGTCTGGCTATCTTTCACTTTCACTTTACCATTTAAAGTGAACTGTAACCAGCATTGTGTATGAAACCCTTCCAAAGGTGGTTTATTTTACCAAAAGTAAGGTAAACGTGTACATATGCATTCAGTGCAGAGGCCGCAGAGGTTAAACTGACATTATGCCCTAGCTAATGAATAGGCTCACGTGAACAAATTTCAGGGTTTGTGGTGTGTGGGGAATTTTCCTTTTCTTTTTTCCATGAAGTATATTTTGCTTCCAATGTAGACTAAAACATTCAGTTTTCTCCCCAAACTGAAATACTCAAGATGACCTTGTGCACTATGTAATTAATATCTCAGGTGTATTTCAGTTTGTGAAATCAGTTCACTAGCTGATTTAGGCAGTGATAAAGAGGTCTCATAGGAATGTCCCTTTACATCTTATGTTGGCTTCTGCCCTATGTGACTGAGAATTCTGGCTTTTTGTAGTGCCTACCCGGTTGTATACATATTAAATTATGTTCTGTGGTCTAAGCCTAGTTTATTCAACACCATCCTGTAATCTGACTTGTGATCTGATATTTCATGAAACCTGGGATTTGTGTTCAAGCTCACCAACAGAATTTGCTTTAGTGTTTAGTCCAGATGTGACTTTTGTACAGTATCCATTTCGTAATTTTCAGTCTTTTTTGTATAACTTTCTTTGGTCCATTAAATCCACCTATTTTACAATGATATTAATTTTTGAGTTGTTGGTGTTCTTGATCTACTTTTAAATTGTAGATATTTATAATCAAGATACAGTTTCACTACATATAAACCTATTATGATTATTATTATGATTATTATTATTATTATCGAACAGCTTTATTTATGGCATGCAGGGTGGTTGATACCTCACACCTCCAGGGTCCTGTGTTCAAGCTGACCTCGTGTTAGTGTCTGCTTGGAGTTTCTGTGCATGTTCTTCCCATGTCAGTGTGGGTTTCCTCTGGGTTCTGCAGTTTGCTCCCCACCTACCAAAAGCATTACAGTAGGTGGATTGGCTAAGAGAAATTGCCCATAGGTGTGAATGTGTTTGTATGCATGGTGCCCTGTGATGAACAGGCAGCACATCTAGAGTGTATACCCTTCTCATGCCCAGTGTGCCTGGGATAGACTCTGAATCCACCTCGACCCTGGCCAGGATAAAGCGACTACTGAAAGTGAGTGAACATTATTTACGTAGTACATTCATATTGCAAAATTCACTGTGAAATGAAAACCGAAATAAAGAAACAAAAGGTAATCAAAAGTAACGAAATAAATAAACGTGAAAGAAAAAGTACAAAACAATATAAAATGAGTATAAGACAAATAAACGCTAAAGTGGAAGTTTTTGTGCTATTTTTAAATAAACTGGTTGTAAAAGACAGCTCCAGGATGTGCTGGCTGTTGAAACTCTCAATCCCTTATTGAATATTCTATTAAAATAATGTTTTGCTCATTATTCAAATCACATCATTGATGAGATAATCTTGAAAAGGGAATTAAGAATTATGCGCTTGTGTGCTGACGCAGAGAGAGGAGTAAAAATAGTTTCACTTTTGTTCTTTACAGCATAAGAAACGTAACTTTTTTTTCAAACTTTAAGGGTGTCTCATTGATCCATGATCTGTGAAATTCGAAAAGGATGATTGTTTTCCTGGACGAGAACTATTTACAAAGCATAATTAAGTGTACTGACGGATCAGTTGTGCGCTATAAGAATAGAATATATAGCTTGAAAACTTTTATTTTGAAGACGGTATCTAACCCGGAAGACTTCTCGTAAAATGCTCAACAGCCATAACACGTGACTTTCGTGATACTGATGTCAAAGCCCGTATGGTAGTCTTGTTTTGACGTAGTGTTTACGTGTTGCTGTGGCGTTTCTGGCGACTGTGGTAACAGTTTGAATATTGAATATTTGATCTGAACTCCTGGGCGAATGTGGTTTTGTTTGGCTGGTCTGCCTATTGGCATGGCGGGTTATTAATTTATTGGCGAATGAAAAGGATTTTCCGAAAGAAGTTCTAGTATCACTGTGGGAAAGTCCAGTAGATTCATATGCCTCCACATTTTCTGTGCATATTGTTGTGCAGGTCAATATCTACGCTTACACCAAAAGCTGCAGAGAGCAAGTCACACTTCAACAACATGTGACGTTAACGATCATTATCAGAACTGTGGTAAGACCTGTGTGTGTGTGTCAGCATGGATGAACGGAAATGTTCCCGGAAGTCGTAAAATGTTTCTAGAAACCGAAAAGCGTAGAAACAAACGGAATAGGAGATAAGGGTTTGTGAATGACCTCTGTTAACCTCCTGACACAGACTATGAATTAGCCTACAGGTTTCTCCAGTCGAGTCCTGGGGATCCACTGACCTGCACAGTTGCAAGGTTTCCTTGCTCCCAGCACACATAACCCAGCTCATAACTGATATGAGAAATATATGAGCTGAATCTAATGTCTGTAGGAGTTAGGAAGGCATAAACTGTGCAGTCCCGGTGTTGAGATCCCATGAGTTCGGCCTCAGTTGATGTGTGTGTGTGTGTGTGTGTGTGTGTGTGTGTGTGTGTGTGTGTGTGTGTGTATAGAAGTGTTACTTCATGAATTTGTAACTAGTGTCTTGCTGCATTTGCAGAAGTTTGATCCATAGATCTTGACCTTCATCTTGGTCTTCAGCTCACTAGCATAGAACCATAACTGCTGAGAGAGCACACTCCAGATGCAGTGCCTAGAACATCCTGTGGAGAAACTGCGCTCAGTCCTCCTGTCCACTCGTAAGGACCTGGTAGAGGCCTATGAGCAGTACAGCAGAGAGGAAAAGCGGTTTCTTGAGGAGGGTCTCCTCCCTGGCAGTTCACTTTTCACTGCCATCACCATTTACTCTGATTCTGACTGGATTCCTGCCCACCCTGAAGCTCCTCAAGACTTCCAGAGCTTCTACAGCAACCCATACCGCAGCACACCCGACACAGGCCACAAGACCATTTATATTCAAACTATTGGTTAGTCAAAGTCCTCGTATGATGCAGTGTTGTATACAGAATAAGTTGCTTTGTAATGTGTTTCTGTGGTCCACAGGATCCTTTGGGGATGGAGCTGGGATCACTGAGCAGTATGTGGAGTGGCTGAGGGAATACTGTGAGGCATTTTACTACGGCCTGGTGGTTAAGCTCTTACCAGCAGTGACCGTTGCAGCCACCAGCTGCACATTTCGTGTCAACAGCAGCACAAATAACCTGCAGCTTCATGCTGGTGAGTACTAGTACATACAATACGGCATGTTTATTGTGGCTACTTAGAAAATGTTAAGATGAAATTAGGTCACTTAATCCCAGTGCCCTGCAGAGGGCAGTCAGTGTTCAGAAGAGTGAATAGTGGCGTTTAGCCCTTTGGCGATCTTCACCTATACACTCCTTCCCTCTAAGTCTAAGTCTGTGTCTTTTGTTATTTTCAGTCTTTAGTCTCCAAATATTTTCTTTCCTTTTTTCATAGGAGATGTATTGGCATTTTTGAAAAAGAGGAAGCCAAAAGACGCATTTTGCACTGTTGGGATCACCATGATTGATTTGTACCCAAAAGACTCCTGGAATTTTGTCTTTGGTCAAGCATCTCTCTCTGAAGGTGATATCTAATTGAGGCGTTATAGTAAGATTTGCCTTTCGTCATGCTAACATTTGAAATGTTTATATTTCCCTGTTATTGTGTGTTACCAAATTAGAGTTTGCACATTCAGCATGTTTTTTTTTAAGTAGTGTTAATTTTGTTGAAAACTTTTTGACAACATATTTTCTGCATGACAAAAAAACTAAACAACTAATAAACAAATCACCCTTCTGCTTAAAATACATGACTAAATTCAAATTAGCTGTTAAAATGCACACATTTAAGCTTTTAGTGATTGCATGTGATGAGACAGTGGAGTTTAATATAACGTTAATTTTATTATTGTATCCTTTGTGCACAAACTGCTGTGAACAGTTGGTCTAAGTACAAGCACTTTGTGTTGTAGGAATGGGGGTTTTCAGCTTTGCTAGGTATGACGATGACTTCTACAAAAGGAGTTATGCTGGGCGGCTGAAGAAGGTGATAAAGCTGAAGCCAGGGGACTACAGTGTATTCCAGGGCTACTACACACCTCCCATTAGCAGCACTCTGCTCCTCCGCTCGTGTAAGGTGTGACAACCATAACTGGACTCCAAAATAGTATTCTCAACCCTATTTAAACCATGATTGTACAACATTTAAGAAAAATTAGATTGCTGAAATGTTATTTTGACCAGAGCTACATCACTTCTATTTTTTTTTTTTTTTTTTTTTTTTTTTTTTTTTTTTTTTTTTTTTTTTTTTTTTTTTTTTTTTTTTTTTTTTTTTTTTTTTTTTTTTTTTTTTTTTTTTTTTTTTTTTTTTTTTTTTTTTTTTTGTTAATTATTTTAGAT